TATAAAAACTTCTATTAATTTTAATAAAAAAATTAAATCAAAATTAAACTAGAGTAATTTTAACCAACAAAATAATCTACAACAAACCATACAAATTATTAAAATATGTCAATAATTATGATTTTAACTTCAAAGGAAAATTATTAAAAGGAAAAACTGAAATAATATATAATAAAAGTTACAATTTTTAAGACAATAAAAAAAAACTTATCATTTTTACAAAATTAATTTTATCTCAAAATTAATTTCAAGGAATAAAATTCTAAGAAGATATGGTTAAATATCAATTTGACCAAACAGATAGAAACTACTATTAAAAAGTTAATAGACTAAATTAAACTAAAATAAAAGTAAAAGATAAATTTGAAAGTACCTAAAGATGGTAGATGAAACAGAAAAAAATACAAAACTTCATAGACTGTTTGTTAAATTAAACCATCCAAAACTGTCAAAATACTTCCATCTTTTAAATTAGTTTTTTCATTTTTTTATAAGGTTGTGAGGATTTAGAACAAAATTGAAGCCATTTTACAAGAATCAAGGTTGAGTACTTGAATTAATACATTATAGCATACAGGGGATGAACACATTCCCAGATTAAATAATCGGTTGCTAGAAGCTGAATCAGGCCGACTTTTGCCTCTTCTGCTTACGGATATCGTTGGTGTCCTTTCCACCTCTCTTCATCCTACCTTTGCCGCCTGCCTTTGGTCCCTGAAGCCAAAATTGAAACAAATGATCAACAGTTTCCTTAGCAACGTTGTTGAGTAATAAAACTCGATACAACATAACTTCAGTACAACAAATATCAATTACCTCGGCAGAGAATGTCTTGAGGGGATCTCTACTTTTTCTGAATTTTTTCTTGGATTTCTGGCGATGAGCCGAGTTACCATTTCCCATTGCGGCACTAGCAAGCTTGACCATTTTGCTTGCATCTCGTGTCTTTTGGTCTAGTAGGTACTCAGGTACATCACGAAGATGAGGTGCAGGAAGCTTCTTACTCAGAACCTTATCGTGCTTCAATAAATCTGCTCAAATACAACTTCCAATATCAGCCATTAAGATTCCACATCCAATCCACAAACAAACGTAAGAATACGTTTAACCTAAATTTTTGTTACCTAAGTCCCGTGGATTTACTTCAAAATGGGCCTTCAACCTACATAAATAGAACCACAAAATTACAAAAAGAAAACTAGAATCAGTGGATAGTTAACTTACTATAAAAAGACAACAAGGGATAAGGTAACACTGATAGCAGTGATTGACAACAGACTGATCCTCAGCAAGTACTCACTTTTCAGAATTGAGAATTTCATTTCTCAAGTCCTGAGCTCGGGATTCCCTTACGGCAATTTTTGTTACACTCTTCGCAACATCCTGCAAGATTCCCTTGGAAATTAATCACTTGCACATCCTCCACCAACCATTTAGCACAAATTTACTTGACATTAAAATCAAGTCCCATCCTCCCAAATTATAGAGTGCAATTGAATAAGTCAATCCGGTAGATAAGAAAACAATTAAATGAACAGGAAAACACATTCAAATTACAAGACTAAAAGTGTATATAGCACTATAGCAAAAAGGTATTCAGGTATAACTGCTTCATATGGTGTATCAATTTCCAAGAGGAACGAAAAGGAAAAGAGGAAATGATGAAGAAACTGACAGAATGAGAAGAAAAAGAAAAATTAGAGTTGCCTAAAATAATCTGTATTATTTAGGGGTATTGGTCACATGAAATTAAACGCACCTAAGCTGAATCATGTCAGGGAAACTGTATATCCTTCCACAAACTTAAAAATCAGTCACTAACTGTCACATACAATCATCAGTCATTATAACTGATATAAAACAGAGAATTAAAGATGAATGAATTAAAAAAATTAATCACCTCAGCCCGATACCGCAAAGACTCCACTGCATCTTTAGTCAGCAATGAAAATGGTGCAATAACATTTGAATCCTTGTCATCACCATCCCCCAAGAAGGATTTTATTTCTTCAAAAATTTCCATCTCATCTGGAGAAACCTATTGTTAATGAAAATGGAATTAGACAGGAAAGAGCTGCAAAATCATGCATTGTTGTGTGTGTTAGAGAGAGAGAGAGACCAGTATTTTCATCATCAACATCCATCATTATCCTAATTATCTACTTAAAGGCAGAAAATAAACCAATCTCTAATTAAAGCCAATGAGAAGATACAGACAAAAAAATCTCTATGGACAATACAGGATAAACTAGGAAGAGTGGTGCATAAACTGTAGAATAATGCAGTCATCCCTGAAACAGCTATTATGCTTGCTTTTTTGTTGCTGCAAGAAAGATAATCTTAATTTTGCCAGAAAAAACTCACAATAGAGACAGCTGCACCAGCACGGTATGCTCTTCCAGTCCGCCCAATACGATGTACATAACCTGAAGCACCTAATGGGATGTCAAAATTTATAACCTGTGATGGAACAAAAAATTTAAAAGCTTTTAGCAAAGATACTAATCTCCATAAGCAGTAAAATGAGTAAACTAAGGGATGGGTAGAGGGCAGGCAGGTGTTGGCTAGAGAATGGGAGAATTGAGATCAAATTTAGAGAATGTTGGTAAGGCAGAACCAACCATACCAAGCAAAGGATAAAGATGAAAACTAATCTCAAATTCTCAATACATATCATATCCATTTGCAAGCTTTGTGAAAACAGAGACCAGAATATTTGGTAGCAAATAAGTACCACACTGATAATTTAGCTGGAATTACAACCACAGAATATGTGAATTGAGCATTCCAAAAAAAAAAAAAAAAAAAAAAAAAAAAAAGAAGGAAGAAGTTGCAGAAAGCTCCTGAAAATCTCAAGTAAATAGGGAATTTTGAGTTTTTTGGGACTGCCAATAAAAGCGATATATGACCAAATTGCCACATAGGGCAGAAGAGCCAAGCAATAGTTACAAAACGGGGCACTCTCAAAAGAAGCTTCCAATGAAAGGAAAATGACAACTTACAAAGCTAAATAAAGCTTCTGACACAAAGAAAAATGATAGTCTAACTTGCTATCCAGGAAGCTATCCATTTCCTTGACATATAGATATCATACAGATACTCAAAAACATGCTAGAATTGCTGGCAGAAGTCATAAGTGTGCCAGGCATATCATAAGCACAAGAACCACAAATTCCAAACAACAAAATTCATTTCATACACCAGAAAACTGTAAGCAATTAAGCATCAAATATCAAGCTTTGTAGATTATATTTGATTAATACTGAAGCCTTTCTCAGACTCAAACATTCAAATAAAAGAACAAAGCTCCAAAAACAAATGATATCCAAGAACATTTGCTTACCGTGTGAACATTTTTAAAGTCAATCCCCCTAACCACACCAAACTCAGAGTCTAATTTTGCCTTAGCATGGTTTCTAGACTTTTTTGAGTACACAGGACTGCTTTCATTGGTTTGTTCCTTCTCTTTTGTCTGGCTGTCATCCGTCGCAATTAAATAGTCAAAAAGCCCAGCATTGAATTCCTGATAGTACCAAGGTAGGAAGGAACCAAATCTTAATCAATCAAGACAGACAACACAAACTATTTTATCACCAAGTTTATCACGCTACAACTGGAATGGAAACATACCTCAAGGATATGGAGACGAGAATTTTGTGGCAGCTCAGCATTCAAAATAGCAGACTTGATACCAAACTGCCAAAGTTAAAAAGGGATGTGATGTAATCTGACAATGATATGTCTATAGAATGCAATAAATATCACCATCCTTTTACATGCTAAATGAAGCAATTAAACAACATCAGCCACGTAAAAACAAAGAATTAGGTCCGGTGCAGTATTCATTACAAGGAAATGTATTCTCATGTAACAAATAAAACACTATATGGTGCAAATCATATAAAAGAAAGCAAGTAGCTCTTCATCTAGAGAATGTTAAACATGTTAAAAGACAACTAGCTAAAAAAACAGAAGGCTAAGTAATTTTAAGATATTCATGGAATACCTTCTCCAAGAATAATTTCAATCTGAAACCCATGTCTATAGTATTAGTAAAGATCAGAACTTTCTTAAGCACCAACTCCAACTTCAAGAGGGCAAAGACGTAAAGTAGCTTGTCACTGGTGCTGCATGGAATCTAAGAGGGGAGAAGGGGAGAAGGGGAGAAGGGGAGAAGGGGAGGAGGGGAGGAGGGAAAGGACAGAGTTAAAAAGCATTAGGCCATCAAAAAAAGGGGACCCAAAAAACATGCAGAAGACAAGAACTTCAAATAACAAGCAAGTATAATTAAAAAGAGAATGCAGAAGAAAATGCACTTGCAAAGAACACACTGTACCCAAGAGCTTCACAGACAGATGGAAACTACATATAAAATATAAAAACATATAAAGTAATGTATGATGCTGCATTTAATGGAGAGTTCACCTTTTCCAACTTTAAGTTTATTACAGCAAAGCATTAAAATGGTTGTTAACATGCATAGTTAACCAATTTTATCTTAGGACTTTTCTTCTATGCTACTAACAAATTGATCTCCTATTAAAATAAGCAATATATTGGAAAGTGAAGAAACAGCCTTCATAGTTTCATGATAAGTGGATATTTCTTACCCAAAATTGTTGAACATTTTTTGGTATGACCTCATCCTTGGCATCTTCCACTTCTGACAAAGTCAAAATGAAAGGATTGTGTAGAATCAATTTCTTGAGCTGCTCAACTTCAGTCCTGAAAAGAGTTTTAATGCCATATTAGATTTGATCAACAAAAGTTAATGTTCTTTGAACCAAAGGAATAGTTAAAAATACAAAGACATGCAGGTATAACTTTGATAAGGTTTCACCAACTACAATGTATATGTAAGCCTTGATAACTTAATACCAATACAAGCACTGGCACCAAATTATGAGCTATCGG